TTAATTAAAAAATTGATTCGGGCCAGATTAAGTCGATTTAATTGATGAATTAGTGCCCAAATATTTTATATTGAAATATTATGTTAGTGGGCCTTGTTGTATGATAGCATTACACTTTCCTCTAGCCCTTACGAACTCAAAATCTGAGTTAGACTGTTGAGAGGAAGAGAGAGCCGGCTGTAGAGAGGAGGAGAGAAGAGAATTGAGCAAACTTAGCTCAAAGCTTGGGAGCCTTGAAGATTATTCAAGTTTTGACCATAGATTGGGAGAATCAAGCCTCTAGGTAAGTGAATTCATGGATATTAAGTTCTAATTTTGTGAATTCAAGTTGAAACAATGGTCAGGAACATGAATTAGTTTGAATGAAAGGAATTGAGTTGTACATGTTGAATTTCAGGCTAATAGAAGCATGCATGTGAAGAATTGTTATAGATTTCCATGTTTGAGCTTAAATTGTGTAATCCATGTTGAAGTTTGAAGGAAATCCATGTGTGTCACCATTCCTCACCAAATAAGTTGTGAATAATGTGTATTTCTTACATGCAAGAGGAGATTATGAAAGGATAGGCTTTGCATGTTAGAATTTGATATGTTGGTGATGAATTGGGATTAATTTGAGGCATGCATGTAAATGATATAAGAGATTGAGCTTCCTAATGTTGTAATATTGCATTGGAATCATATTAATATGTGTATATTTGAGTTTTGAGCCATTGCATTCAAGAATTGTAGCTGGAAGGTTGAATTGGAGCTCAAGAACACGATCTGGGAAACCCAGAATTTTGATGTCCACTCGAGCGGGGAAGTTCACGCTCGAGCGGGGATTTCGAGCTCCCAGTATTTGTTCTTGCAGGCTTGGTGTCCGCTCGAGCAGGAAAGTTCACGCTCAAGCGGGGAGCTATGTTGAGAGGCCTTCCGCTCGAGCGCCATATTGGACGTTCAAGCGTAAATTTCACATATCCAGTACTTTTGCAGGCCTTAGAGCTCCGCTCGAGCGGGGAAGTTGACGCTCGAGCGGGGACCCTGTTTTCTGAAATTCTGGAAATGCATTCTGTGTTCTGTTTTCCCGTTCTCTTTCACTTGCAAGCACTCTTAGGCATATGTTAAGCATTGTAAATGAGCTAATGAAATGTGAATTAAGCCTAAAGAGAGATATGTGAATTAAAGAGCGGATTGAACTGTTAGTGACCCTTTTGTGTTCATGAAATGTGTAGGGTCAAGTTCCAGGGCAAATCCACAAGCCGATCACTGTGAGTAATATCAATATTTGAAAGCTTGTGAATGTCCAATTGTTATTCCCTTATAAGACTTATGAATTTGCTAATTGGGATTGTGGACAAAAGTCTGATACGAACAAATGAATGGGCCGAAGGCCGTTTTGACATAAATGAATGGGCCGAATGTCGTTTTGACACAAATGAATGGGCCGAAGACCGTTTTGACACAAATGAATGGGCCGAAGGCCGTTTTGACATAAATGAATGGGCCGAAGGCCGTTTTGATACAAATGAATGGGCCGAAGGCCGTTTTGACAAGAATGAATGGACCGAAGGCCGTTTTGATACAAATGAATGGGCCGAAGGCCGTTTTGACAAGAATGAATGGGCCAAAGGCCGTTTTAATATAAATGTACATATGTTAAGTAGGAATATGAATTGGGTCGTTATTCTACATATTGTTTATATGACTTCTGTATTTGATATTATTCACTGGGCTATCGCTCACGCTCAGTCATGTGTTTGTAGGTGAGCCAAGGGAAGTCCAAACCCAGCCCTAGTGAAGTCTGCTAGGAAAATACGAGTTTGAGGAAGTCAGCCTTGCGTCTCACTCTTGAGACCTATCCTTGCCTTTTTGTTACGTAATTATATTTTGTCTTGCCGGCAAGGACTTTATGTATATTTGTAAATAGTCTGTCATGGGTTGACTTAATTAGATGATTTTGTCTGTAAAGAATTTTATGGTACTGTACCTTCGATGTGGGTTATTAACGTATAAGAGTTTGGTTTGTTTTGAAGTGCATATAAGCACGGCTCTATAGACAAAGTTTTTGATTATTGCTTCCGTTTGGCCCCTCTACTCTGTTGACTTATCTCTATTTTGGTTTGAGGCTGTAGGTAATCATAGGATTACTGGCCGGTTACGTCCTTAACCCATGGGGGCGGGTTCGGGTCGTGACAGTAGGACTGTGCAAAATACCACCAAATCTACTAAAATCTCACCTATCCACATCAATTCATACCGCTCTATCTGTTAACTGCGGTTTAAACTTTAAAATTTATAAACTGTCTTCGAAACCGCTCCGTTCCGCTATAATTAATATATATATATATATATTTAACTTATAATGAAATATCAAAGTAAAAATGAGAGCAAAAGAAACTTAATATGTGAAATTTATCACAAATTAGTAGTTATATATACGAATAATATTACATAAGATTAATTTGTGTTATATATATATATATATAAATATTATGTAAATTAGCGTAATATATTATATAAATATTTGATAATTAGTTAGAATATTCTTCAATCCACTCAAAACCACTCAAACCGTAATTTGTCAATTCGCCAATCCACTAATCTACCATTCAATTTATAATTTTACTCTTAAACTGCCTGAACCGCACCACGCATATCCCTAGTTCAAAGAAGTGGGGGGCTCAAGATAAGTAAGTAGGAGCATTTAACAACCTTTTATTTATTTATTTATTTTGGTGCAAGCCAAATATATTTTGGCTTTTTAACTTTTTTTTAAGCCAAAAATCAACATCTCAGACAAGGTGTTATTCACTTAATTTTAAACTCAATTTTAAATTCAAGGAAAAAAAAATTAAGGGAATGTACATGCCAATAGTACCTTCAAAAATTAATTACAAATTTATGAAAAGTTTATAATTTTATTTTTTAATGTTTATAAAAATATTTTAATAAATATTCACTTATGTGAAATTATTCCAAAAAAATTACTCATTATTTACCGAGTAATGGGTAGTCAATATGCAAACCTTTGATTTACAAAACATGTTAATATAGCACCACCTTAAAGATGAGACATTGTTCTCACGTCCATACCCAACTGAAATCCGACTGAAATGGTCCAAATAAATAGATGGATATGATTGACTTCTCTTCATTTTAAAGAGAGTGGTATTATACCAATTAATAAATTTTATAAATTTGTTTTCTACTAATTGATGTCATATTAATGAAGTTGATCCTAATGTACCATTTTACATTAGTTAATAAAAATATCTGTAAAATTTATTAATTTATATAGCATTTTATTTTAGGATAGATTTCACCATTTCTAAAATAAATTCAATGATCCAGTTTGATATTGTGTAGTATCAAGTGAATTATTTTGATGAGTTTCATTTATTTTCTAAGCCTAAATTGTATTTATGTAATTTTTCATAGAATGAGTCACAAATATTTGAGAATGCATTAGAAAATAAATATGATGAAAATTGTGCGATTATGTTTATCAAATTAATTTGATATTTATTTGAATAATTCACACACATGGGCTTAAAGAATAAGCATAATTGATTATTGTTGGTGCATTTTAATACTTGTTATTTATTTGAGACTTTTTACATAGTTCATGAATGATAAGTTAATAGGAGTAATGGGTATTGTTGAGTAGTTAATACTTATCAAGATAAAGAGTCTCACGTTGACTAAAAAAGATATTAAAAGGATTCATATATTTATATCTATGTTATTGACTTTGTATGTAATTTATAAGAAATAGATCAAATGCACGAAGTCACGAAAGAAGCAAATCAAAGAAGTTGATGGAGTTTTGCCTTAACCAATTAGCCCAATCCATACACCATAGCTTGATTATATATATCTCAAACTTTTCAAATTTTTTCATCAACAATTATCAAAATAGACCACCTAGACAATTCCGCAAAACTTATCATTGAATTTGACTCATAGATAGACATAAATCTTTATGCTACACCCCCAGTGTTCCTACCTCTCTCCAATGTTTATGGAGCAAGGCTTTTTATTTTTATTTTTATTTATTTTTTTATTTTGGTGGACAAGATGGAGTAAGACTTTGAAATTGCATATTACAATTTTTTTTTTTTGCACATTCTAGCTTCCTTTTGACCCGAACTTTCTTTCAACCATTTTTTAAACAGATAATAACTTTGATTTTGTAATTTATTTATCATGGCAATTTGATCAATATAATTTTATTTGTTCAATTTTATCGCTTTTTATTTTTATTTTTATTTTATTTTTTATTTTGGTGGACAAGATGGAGTAAGACTTTGAAATTGCATATTACAATTTTTTTTTTTTGCACATTCTAGCTTCCTTTTGACCCGAACTTTCTTTCAACCATTTTTTAAACAGATAATAACTTTGATTTTGTAATTTATTTATCATGGCAATTTGATCAATATAATTTTATTTGTTCAATTTTATCATTCAATTTTTTGCAATATGTAAATTTAGTTTAATTGATAATATTTTAAATAAAAATCAAGAGTAAAATAAAATAGCTCATTCAAAAATAATTTTTCATTTCATATTGAATGCTAATATACCATTTTGTTCCTTAATTTCAATCAAATTACTAAAATGACATTATTTTGACTAAATTGATACGATATGAAAAATTTAAGAATAAAATTGATATAATTCGAATAAGAATAATCAACTTAATACAAGAGGCAAACTGATACAAATGTGTTCGTTTGGATAGTTTTAGATTTGAAATGCGTAAATTTAACATTAATTATTCAAGAACAATAACTTAAATTTAGGTTTGTTTCGATTCCAAATCAGGATTATAACTACAAACCCATGAATTGAATTGTAAAATACAATTTATCTATTTTAAAAACAAAATTCAACTGCACATTAAGAAAATCAAATCAAATGAATCTAACCAATTTATGATTTTTTTTTAAAACTCAGCTTTAAAAAAAAAAAAAAAAAAATAGTAGAAGAAGAACAGCAAACGCCGTCGTATCAGCCTCAATTTTTTTGGGGTGAGTACTGTGTTTCTCTCTCTAGGAAAAAAATAGCCAGATTCTCTCTCTCTCTCTCTCTCTCTCTGCAGAGCTCCACTACAGAGACGAAAATCTAGGGTTTCGTTTTCTCTCTCCTCCTCGTTCGAACCATCACCATGGATCTTCTACAGTCATACGCAGACACCGACATGGACGACGACAATCAACAATTTCAACAACTACAACCACAACCACAACCACAACCACCCTCAATTCAAAACCCTAGCTCCACCGCCTCCGACCACTCATCATCGCCGGACTCATCGCCGCCTCGGATCTCCCTCCCTTCCAAATCCTCCGCCCCCAAAGTCGACGACACAATGCTTGCTCTCACAATCGCCGACTCCAATCGAGCCCTAACCAAGCCCCTCGATCCTTCCCAACACGTCGTCGTCTTCAACCCCACCTACGATCAGCTCTGGGCACCAATCTATGGCCCTTCACATCCCTACGCCAAGGACGGTATTGCTCAAGGTATGCGCAATCACAAGCTAGGGTTTGTTGAGAATGCTGCGATTGAACCCTTTGTTTTCGATGAACAGTACAATACTTTTCATAAATATGGGTACGCAGCTGATCCAGAGGGAAACAATTATGTTGGTGATTTGGATAGATTGAAGGAAACTGATGGCATTTCTGTGTATAATATACCTCAACATGAGCAGAAAAAGAGGAAACTTGAGAAGAAGAAGGAGAGTGTGGAGAATGAAGAGGAAGGTAGTGGTGAGGTTGAGCGGGTGGAGGTTGACAACCCGGCTTCGGAGACGTGGTTGTTGAAGAATCGAAAGAGTCCGTGGGCGGGAAAGAAGGAAGGGTTGCAAGTGGAGTTGACGGAGGAGCAGAAGAAGTATGCTGAGGAGTATGCGAAGAAGAAGGGTGATGAGAAGAGTGGGAATAGTGAAAAGGGTGAGGTTGTTGCTGATAAGAGTACATTTCATGGGAAGGAGGAGAGGGATTATCAAGGTAGGTCTTGGATTGCTGCGCCCAAGGATGCTAAGGCTACCAATGATCATTGTTATATTCCCAAGAGATTGGTGCATACTTGGAGTGGGCACACGAAGGGTGTGTCTGCAATTCGGTTTTTCCCCAAGCACGGGCATTTGATTCTCTCGGCAGGAATGGATACCAAGGTGAAGATCTGGGATGTGTTTAATTCAGGTAAATGTATGAGGACTTACATGGGACATTCGAAGGCGGTTCGTGATATTTGGTTTTGCAATGATGGAAGTAAGTTTCTGACTGCTGGATATGATAAGAACATCAAATACTGGGATACAGAAACAGGACAGGTGATATCGGCATTCTCAACAGGGAAGATACCTTACGTGGTTAGGCTGAACCCGGATGAGGATAAGCAGAACATTCTTTTAGCAGGCATGAGTGACAAGAAGATTGTTCAGTGGGATATGAATACTGGGCAAATCACTCAAGAGTATGATCAACATTTGGGAGCAGTTAATACAATCACCTTTGTAGATAACAACAGAAGATTTGTCACATCTAGTGATGACAAATCTCTCCGGGTTTGGGAATTTGGGATTCCTGTGGTTATAAAGTATATCAGCGAGCCTCACATGCATTCTATGCCATCGATTTCCCTTCACCCAAACACAAACTGGCTAGCAGCACAGAGTTTGGACAATCAGATTCTTATCTACAGCACTAGGGAAATATTTCAGCTTAATAAGAAGAAAAGGTTTGCGGGGCACATAGTGGCTGGATATGCTTGCCAAGTCAATTTTTCACCGGATGGTAGTTTTGTCATGTCGGGAGGGCACATTGTGGCTGGATATGCTTGCCAAGTCAACTTTTCACCGGATGGTAGGTTTGTCATGTCGGGAGATGGTGAGGGTAAATGCTGGTTTTGGGACTGGAAGAGTTGCAAAGTCTTTAGAACTCTCAAGTGTCATGAAGGGGTATGCATTGGCTGTGAGTGGCATCCATTGGAGCAAAGTAAAGTTGCAACTTGTGGCTGGGATGGCTTAATCAAGTACTGGTAAGAAATCTATTCCATCACTCAGCATGACTAATTCTTATACCATAGTTGTTAATGTGTATGTATCACTTGGTTATGTTACATATTTATGTCACATTGTCTTTTTGTTTTTCATTAGAGAGATTTGATTGCTGAAATGTTGCATCTATAGCCTCAAGTAAAATTACTTCAAATCCCTTATGTGGTGTGGTTCCATTGTTCAAGCACTAAATTACTTTGGGAAATCTCTTAACCAAACCAAACCAAACCAAACCATGCCATGCCTTAAGCTCCATCAAATGGGGTCGGCTACATGAATCCTTCTTCTCCACGCGGCTCTATCAAATGCCATTTCGTTAGTCAAATTAAGTAGATTCATATCTCTATTTACAATGCTAGCTAACGTTAATCTAGGCCTACCCGGTCCCCTAATACTTCCATCTATCATCATTGTATCGCATCTCTTCACTACTGCTTCTGTTGGTCTCCATTGAATATGACCAAACCCTCTCAATCGATTCTCTCTCAACTTATCTCTTATCAGTGCTATTTCTACCCATTCCTGAATACACTCATTTCTAATTCTGTCTTGTCTAGTCTTACTTTACATCCACCTTAGCATCCTCATTTTAGCAATACTCATCTTATCTACATATTTTTTGGTTGCCCAACATTCTGTCTCATACAACATCGCCGGTCTAATAGCTGTTCTATAGAACTTACCTTTTAGTCTAGTGGATATTCGTTTATTGCACAGTATCCCAGACGCACTTCTCCACTTAAGCCATCCTATCTTAATCTTATGGGCCACATTTGCATCAATTTTTCACGCCGTTATGATAATCAACCCTAAATAACGAAAATATTCACTTTTAGTTAGTTCTTGGTTTTCAATCTTCACTTCTCTACTGCTTTCATTATTACTGTTACTAAATTTACACTCCATGTATTCTGTATTAGTTCTGCTTATTGGGAATCTTTTAGATTCAAGTGTTTGTCTCCAAGTTTTCAACTTTGTATTAATTCCTTCTCTAGTCTCGTTCACTAACACGATATTATTTGCAAAAAGACTACGCCATGGCACGTCATCCTGAATATTTCTCGTCAACTCATTCATAACTAAAGCAAAAAGATAAGGACTTAAGGTAGATCTTTGTTGTAACCCTACAGTGATAGAAAATTCATTTGTTTCTCCAGCAGGCGATCTAATAGTTGTCATCACCCCTTCATAAATGTCCCCAATCACATCAATGTAACCTTTTGTCACCCATTTTTTCTCTAACACCCACCATATTATATCTCGAGGCATTCTATCATATGCTTTCTCAAGGTCGATAAACACCATATGAATGTCTCTTTTCTTTTTTCTATACTTTTCTATTATTCTCCTCAAAAGATAGATCGCATCCATTATTGGCTTGCCAGACATAAACCCAAATTGATTCTCTGACACCTTTGTTATATCTCGCAATCGCGTTCCATCACCCCCTTCCACACTTTTATTTTATGACACATTAGCTTGATTCCTCTATAGTTATTGCAATTTTAGACATCACCTTTATTCTTATAGATTGGAACTAAAATACTCTTCCTCCACTCATTTGGCATGTTCCTAGTCAACAAAATCTTGGCAGACAACCTAGTCAACAAAGCAACCCCTTTTTACCCAAACACTTACAAGCTTCAATAGGGATATCATTGAGTCCTAAAACTGATAAAATTAATTGATTCATGATATTGTGGTGGCATGATGAGTATCACTTAAGCTGACAGATGAAAAGTTAGAGTAGCCAACAAACAAAAAGGTAAATCAAATGTGAAAAATAGTGTGTTGAAGTATTTACAATGTAGCTGCTAAATTCAAATCATAACAGATTGAAATGGCTGATAACTTAAGTGACATGGTATTTTATAACCATTATAGCTGCACATTTTGTTCTTATCAATAAATTTTCTTTAGGTCATTTCAGTCTTAGAATGCCTTGTGATAATGGAGTAGATGTGGCTAATCAATCTGAACTACATGGTTCCCATCCAAATCAATTAGTTGTATTGGGAAGCTGTTATCCAAACTTCAAAAAGTATTGGAAGCTGATAACCAAACTTCAAATAAGGCTTAAACTTGACCAAAACTTGATTACCAAGCTGCAGAATGGCCTTTTACAATTCCTTTTTTTATTTTTATTTAAATTTTTTACCGTATGTTTGGATCTTGAATTTGTGGAGGGAAAGGAAAAGATGAGAAAAAAAGAAGTGCAAGATGCTAAATTCTTTTCTTTTGTTGGGTTGGTTTTGACGAATGAGAAAAAAATGGTTGTTTGTATAAATGAATATTTTTAAAAGTAATTTCATTTCTATTTTATTTTCTTTTCCCTTGATTAATTCAACATCAAAAGATAGCATTAGCTTTAGGGATATGGTCAGTGACAAGGGTCTTGGAACTTGCATGCCTGATCAACAGGAACTACTAGGTTCCAAGCCTAGGTAATTTTCGTTTTTGGGAAGCTAACTTTCAAACTTAAAAATTAGTCTTATCACAAACCTTAACTTGATTATCTGAGCTTCCTATTGTGTTTGAAATTGCCATCATCTACCCCTGTTAGTAGGTTGTCAACCATGGGAAGATGTTTAAAACCCAGGCCATGTGTTGCTTTCTGGGTTCTTAAAAGCCTTTTGTTTAACCAATGACTCAGTTTACTCCACCAGCTATGTAATGGTCACCTAGCTTTTGTTCCTTGTTTAAGATAGTATTTTAGGGTCAACTCAAAGAAATATCATGTTCAATTCTTCACTTTTCTTGGTCTCAATGGTCCTGGGATGGGGTGCTACAACATCATTTGAAACCGTTCGGTAGTCACCAGCTGTGTCTGTTTTTGATGCAAACATAAAGAGCTGAGGAGGATGATAAATGAGAGCCATTTGTTGTCGAAGCTACAACGCAGGAATTTGTAGTCTACAGAAGAGAAGAAATTACTTTTAGATTAAAATTGTAGTTCAATGATTGTCTCTCTCTTTTTATATTTTCATTTATGGTAATTGGGACTTGGGTATTGGTACCAAGTGTCATATTCATCTAACTCTCATGTCCAAAGACACTAGACGCGGCAGAATTTCATATTTTTTAAATACTAATTTCATTTATTTAGGATAAAATAGTATTTACAAACTGGCATATTTTTTATGAATAGAATGAGAGAGAGTTTTGTAGTGAACTCTATTACGAGTTAAGTATATTCAGTGGGTGCATGCCCAAGTAGATATGTTGGACTTGTATCCCATGATTGCTTTAGAAATTTTGAAGAATCCGTGTACGTACCATCTATGTTACATAGACTCGGGCATGGATATCGGGTGTGGGTGTGTATCTGGGAGTCGGACACTTCAAAATTAAAAATTGAGGATACGTGAATAGGGATCCAAATGTGGATACGTGTACGGGAATACGTTAAATAGTTATTTCAAAAATATATTTATTATACAAAAATGAGTTAAATAGTTATTTTTTAAATATATTTATTATATGAAGATGAGTTAAAAAAAGTTGACCCAATAATTTTTTTTATAAATAGAATCAAACATATAGATCAAACATATGGATAAGTCATAGAATAACCCATTTTATTGTTGAATAGAGTTTATAAACAGGCCCAAATATTTTTTTTCTTTATTTGGATCCAACCCATTAAGATTTATTATGATAAAAACCAGCTAATAGGTGTAAATTTTTTCTTTATTTTTTTGGGTCCAGCCCATTATAGTTTATAATATATATATTTTTTTTGATAAATAAATTATAGTTTATAATATTAATTATTATGATACAAATTAGTGCCCAAACTTTCTATTTATTTATTTGGGTCCAGCCCATTAAGATTTATAATATTAATTAGCCAATAGCTCAAGCCTTTTATTTATGAGGTAATTACCTAAAAGTTCTATCTACACATTTGGTGGTAACTTAGGTCCTATCAAAAAAATTTTGAACCAGTAAGTCCCATGTACAGTTAAAAAGACGCTTTACCCTTTAATTCTAAAACTGAGAATGTTCTCAATTTCAAAATTGAAAGTATTCTTCTCAATTTATAATTATCAAAACTAAGAAATTTCTCAATTTTTTTTCTAATATGAACTAAGAATATTATCAAAAGTAAGAAATTTATAATTATCAATTTTGAGAAATTTCTCAATTTTTTTCATGCTTAAAATTGAGATTATTATAAACTATGAAGGTTCTCAATTTTGAGAAATTTCTCAATTTCTTTCATGATTAAAATTGAGAATATTATCAATCTACTCTCTCTTACATTTACGTTCTCCTCCTCCTTTTACACTTTCCAGATCTGGAAATCTTCTAATCTAGTTATAGATCTGGTTCGAGATGTTGAGCTCCACAGCAACTTCGTTGAGCTCAATGAAAGAAGTAGTTGAAGATCACCACCACGAACATTGCTCCTTGTTATCTCTCCTCCACTGTTCTCTACTTTATTGTCGTTCAAATTAGTTGATAATTGATTATTGTAGTCATATTGCCGCAGCAGTAGTTGAAGATCTGTACTTCGTTGAAGATCTGCAGCTTCACAGATCTGTACTACAACGAACTAATTGATTATCTAGCAAGAAGAACGATTCGATATTGCCGCAACAGCCATCATCGAATCGTTCGAGACCTGTACTTTGTTGCACTGAAGAATTGATCTCGAGAGCCACTGATTCGACCCTTGCTGCTACTGCTGCTGCGACGTGGTCGCTGCGTGGAACGTCGCCTTGGGACGCTGTCGCTGATGATCGGTGGCGATTTTCGATGATACTCAAGTGGATGCGTATCGGGATTTGGAGTCCAATCGATTTCGCAGACGACGGAGTTGGAAACGAATTGAAGAAGAAGAAGAAGATGAAGGATCTGATCGTAGCAAGACTATTCATGTTGACCAGAGGCTAGAGACTGAGTCTGTGGAGAGAGAGAGAGAGAGAGAGTTTGGTTGGCGAGGAGGTCTTGGAAGGGTAAATTGGCCTATTAAAAATTAATGGGACTTGAAGGAGCAAATGATTTTATTTAGGACTTAATGGAGTATAAGTTTACAAAATGGGACTTGTATGTAAATGCCCTTTTATTTATTTATTAGGTCCAGCCCATTAGGTCCAGCCATTAGGGTTTGATACAAACAAAATCAGCAGCGGCAGCTTTGACACAATGGGTCTGTCTCACGTACAGCAACAACACGATGGGTATGTCTCCTCTTCGCTTCTCTCTCACACGCACAGCAACAAGATGGGTTTGTATCTTCTCTTCTCTTCTCTTCTCTCACACATGCACAGCACGATCGAGAGAGATATCGAGGGACAGAAGGAGATTGTGATAGAGAGAGAGGAGATCGAGATAGAGAAGAAGATTGAAAGACATGATCAAGATCTTGAACCCATACATCAATGTAAGTATCTCAACCTTCTTCTTCTTTTTTGATTAGCCATGTCCGAGAGAGGAGAGGTGAATCCGACACAAATCCCACACCCGCACCCGTGTCGTGTCGTGTCATGTCGTGTCGACACGGGTACTTCGCCCCAAAGTGCCGAGTCCATGTAACATAGCGTACCATAGGTTTGTCTATAATACATACAGCTCTACATATTAACATCTCACCGTATGTAGTTCGTTATAAAGATCCTGCCTGCCCAATTTTTATTTATTTATTTTTAATTTTGTGTGTGCACGTGTGTGGTTCCTAAATGAAATATGAATTGGCATGGTGCAGAAAGGGTAGAAAAAGATCTCATGAATTCTTTATTATTTAAGCTAAACCAACATTTCCTGGGGTTTGCAAATTAACCAAGCCACCTTATTGACAGCAATGGTGGCTTGATCCGATGACCTATGTTTATTGAAGGGATATATATATATATATATATAATCTGATCAATTGTGTAAAGACCTGGCATTACTTGAATTGAGAAACTTCTTGTGACAATCTGGGATGAAGTTGCAAACACTGACGATGCATTGATTGATGTGATTTGTGTAACGAGCCAAAGTGACCACAACAAGAGATGGCAAAGAATAGCTTAAGTCCATGGAAAATTGGTGATGATGTAGATCAATTAGAGTTTGATAGTGAGCATTGGCCACCGTAGAGAACAGGAAAAGTCCCATAGAAAGAAACAAGTATCGGAGTGGAGTTGATGGAGAATCAACGGTAGCAGACTAGGGCATGGATTGTGCTATTGAAGGCACAAATACTATGAATGATCATTGATACATGAAGGGGTAGTGTGTTGGCAGTTGAGTTATTTATAATTCTGGTGTTTCATTCCCTCACAGGAGTTAGATATGACGATAATTTTGGTGTTATTTTTTTATATTTCTTGGTGCAATAAGAATGTCAACACTGTAGACAAAATAAGAGAGTGATATCTCAGGTTCCCTTTCTAGTGTCCTATTACAATGTGATATGAGGACAAAAAAGATGTTGGATGAGGAAAGAATTGAAATCTTTTGGAAAGATTTTTAGAAATTATATCAATAGAGTATTAAGTAGGATTTAAATATTGTATTATTTTTTTTGGTAAGTTTTACAATTAGGGTTTTCTTGTATGTCTATAAATAGCTTATTACGTAGTAGGTTTATTCAGATTGTGATATTGAATTGAGTTGATTTTTTGATATTGAGATCAAAGAATTTAGGGTTTATTTTCTTTTGTTTTGGTATGGCATTTCTTTTTCTTTACATTTATTTTCTTTCGCGGCCATCCGACATCATGATCTTTTTCTAGCCGTTATATTGGTTTCACTGGGTAACTTAAAATGCCATTTCTATCTTCCAAGTAAGAACTTTTTAATAATGACTGATCAATTTGCTTGCTTATTCCTTTTACTGCATTTTTACTCATTTAGTTCTTGATTGTCTCCGTTTTGCTTCATCATAATACCTGCACATTCATCATTAAAAGGTGCTGTACTGGTGCTACCCAACTATAATACTTGCTTTTCCACACGTAGGAGATGAAATTAATAACTTTGCACCAGTAAAATAGAAGATAAGCTGAGAGAGAATAGATTGAAATAGTTTGATCATATACAACGGAGATCAATAGAGGTAGTGGTGAAGAGATGCGATACAGTGACAGTAGAAGGAAGTGTTAGGGGAAGGGATAGATTTAGATTGACGTGGGCTAGTGTGGTAAATAGAGATATAAATCTCCTTAATTTGACTAATTAAATGGCCTTTGATAGAGTCGAGTAGAGAAAAAAGATTGATGTAACTGACCTCATTTGATGGGGATTTAAGGCTTGGTTTGGTTTGATTTTCTCTTGTAGGTCATGAACTTGCACTGTGTACTGAGGGTTTAGTCTTTATTGGGGTTTGAATACATACTCCTAATTACTCTTGTCCAATGAATTATCAAAATGAGATCAAACCTTATGATGTGAATAATGTCATTGAAACTCGGAAGGGAATATGCTTAATCATTTTGAACTTTAAAGCCTTAATGGACAATAGAATTTCAGTTATTTGGCATTTTAGGAGAATATTCAGATGTTGGAATAGAAACTGAAATGTACTTTTGAAATTTGTAATTTCTTCCTGCACTGATGCATATGATGCTCATCTACATCATCACTTCTTAACTTATGGAAAGGTAAATATATGCATCATGCTCTCTCTCTCTCTCTCTCTTCATGTACACTTGCACACATATTTTTGTATTCATGTACTTTCCTGTACGTGTTGGCGCTATTGCTTGTGAAGTTCTGTTATCACTGTGAATGATAATATCATCTCTGACTTGCAGGGACTAGTCTTTTCAAATTCCAATAGCACACATTAGTCGAGCAGCTTATTGCCTACTCGGACTGGAGTGCCCAGATTGTATACTTGAAATGCTATTGTGCGATGGGCTTCTCCGGTTGATGTTAAATGCCTCTTCTTGTTCATCGCTCTGAAGTATTGAGAATAGTCAAATCTTATGAAGCTGGGTGGACTTATCCGCCCTCTGATATCTATGCTTGCAGCTAAGTTGTGAGACGGGAAAATGGCATCGATCTGTATTATTATAATTTTCTTAAAATTTTGTTTTTTCAACCTTTTTTTCTGTTAAGGAGCTTTTGCTAGTGAAATGTTCTTGCTAAGAAGTCTTTTAGATCAGTACTCACTTTTCCTAATTTTCGTGTTAATATGTATTACTATGTTTCTCTTTTGTTAAGGTCGGGTATGTTGTTCAGATTCGGAGCTTGTGTTGTATAGAATCTGTAGATTATGGGATCTGTTTGTGGGGCCGAGGTGGGACTTGGGGGGAAGTAGTTGCTGGGCCGTGACCGTGCAGGGCACTGGTGTATCATAGGGATATCGGATGAAATCTCCTGAGTCGATAAAAAAAGAGTAGTTTGGTGAGTTGCCAAGAGATGATGGAGGGTGGCCGTCGGGTTGGTGGTTGGAGCGTTGCAGGAAGTCATGAGTAGTGATTGTCCGTTTGTCAAATGATTGTTGGTGGTTATGCAGAGGATTGTCAGAAGTTGGTCGGTGGATCGCTGATGATTGGTGGTGGCCTGCGGTGGGTAGTGGCTGGAGATGGTAGGGGAAAGAGGAAAAAGTGAATCATTGGTTTTGAAAACAATTGAAAAACATTGAATCTTGATTTTTTTCGTTTTAAAAACTTGAAATTTTTTGAAACCAAATGAAAATAATATATCAAACAAGAATTTATTTTCATTTTTTTAAAAAATAAAAATAAAATAGAAAACAAGTAACGAAGTGTTACATGGGTGAGGCCATTGAAAGTGCAAAATTGAGTTTATTATAGACTTCACTAGTCTAGTATTTTTTTTATTATTATTATTATTTTTCAATTCATGCTAGTCTAGAATTGGAGAGGGTCTCTCTTGGAATTTGTATTTCAAAAAAAATAAAAAAAAAATTTTGTACGGGAAGGTAAGACCAAAAATGCTAATGCGTCTGCCGGGAGTCGAACCCGGGTCTATTGCTTGGAAGGCAATTATCCTAACCGTTGGACTACAAACGCTTGGTGCTTCTCTCTCGTAGTAATTTTATAAATACATTATGATACAAAGTGGCTCATTTGCTACCAAATGGCTTTGTTGTCCATTCCTCTCGGATCAAAAAATAAAAAAAAATTAAATGTACTAACAATTGATTTAGGGGTTGTTTGGGATAATCTAAATAAGTGTGATTTTTGACTTTTTATGAAATATGAGTTGGGTTGGGTTGGGTTTGAAATGATGTGTTAGAAATGTAATGTGACTTAAATAAGATGATATAACTTAAATAGGGTAGTGACTTTTTGACTTTTTATCTTTTTCAAGACCCGTCAAACTTTGCCTTAATGGATGATAGTGAGAGGAATGATCTCAAACTCAAAGAGACCAGTCAGTAGCGGAGCCACATGGTCCCCTTCGATTTTTTTTTTCTTTTTTATTTTTTTTACATATATACATAAATAAAATTTTAAATAAAAATAATATTTAAAATTAAATATTAAGGGTATTTTTAAATTTATAAAAACAATAGTGATTGTTTTATTAAAAATGAAGTGATCACAGCAAATTATATTTATGAAAATTTTGTAAAAAAAAATCTTAATATAAAGGTAATATCTATCATTATTGATATGCAAATATAATTAATCTCACTCTATATATATATATAAATTACTAGAGTATTAGTTATATTTGCATGTGTAGTTCACCCTTCATATGTTACTTTACTATTGATTGGTATGTTAATAATGACGCGATATCACTATTATATGAAATTTTTACTCAAATTTTGTAAAAATTTGATTTATCTTACCATTATATAATTTATTTTACGAGTTAAATATATGACTTTTTACATTATCCATGTTGCACTAATTACACACAATACTTTCTTTTTGATTTTACTTGAAATTAATTGTAAAGTTTTATGTGAAATACTTTTGTAATAATTTATTTAATTTTTTGTACTTAATTCAAAAATTATTATTATTTTCTTATTATTGATTATGAAAAAAAATAATTAAAGTAGTAATTAATGAGTATCTTGTCTGGTTTAGTTTCCTAACTCTAAACTGAGCCCAGTCATATTGACGTGTCTCCTGAGAATAACGCTCTCATTGTTCCTTCTTTTTCATTTGTCACTGCCCTTTGTCACGATCAATTTATAGGTTATGTTCTTTTCATTGTTATCAATCTACATGTTATATTCATTTCAAGCCCTATTTTTTTGTAATGGGGCTAATTTAAGTTCCTATTTTCTTTTCTTTTCAAGCCATACGTAGCTGAATTTGCAAACCCGAAACAAAAAAAAGAAAAAAAAAAAGAAAAAAAAAAGAACTTTATTATCAATTATTAGATCCATTCATTCAATTTTATTCAAAATATTTGAGTTTTTAGAATTTTTGTTCTTTTGAAGTTTAACTTGGGAAACTATATGATTAGTGTTAACTAGAACTAAATTATGCTAAAAAAGAAAAAAACGAAAAAAAAGAAAAAAAAAACACTAGAAGAAGGAATAATAAGATTCAAACTGATGTATTTTTAAATGAAGGAGAAAAACAAATTATGATGTAGATTTAACTTTTTATATGGTGAGATCAAAACTAAAATTAATCTGCATTACACACAAATTTTGGGGGGTATTTTTGTTCTATGAGTTTTTCATCATTAGCATTACGATATTGGGTATATGATGGTTAAAGGAGGATCTTATCATTATTAACAATTGATATATTTTTCTCGCTTTATATCTCATTATAGAACTATTTTATATTTATTGAAGTCACTGTTGATCTTATTTGAAAAATTTAAAATTTTCAAAATATTAATTGGTGATTATACTTCAATTTAAAATAATAAATAACAATTCTACTCAAATAATCAAGATAAATCGGCACAACGATTTAATGTTTAAAAAAAAAAAATCACAATTGAAGTGCCTCCAATTCTGATAAAAATCACGGGCCAAAGTCACAAAACAATCTACTAAGAAGACAAAAAAAGAATTACACAAGAGTACTCTCAATTACCTAACGAATCTACCCCCGAATTGAACCAAACCCAATGTGTCTTTTCCACCACCGTCTTCACCTCAAAATTGTCTTGTCCAATATTGAATCCACAATGTAGATGTCGAATCCACGATAATGAGCCACTCTGGAATCCATTAAAATTTTAAGCTCAAATTTCCCGAAATCTACCGAAGAACACTGTTAATCATGTGGTTTAATTTTGATGATGTCTGAAATATTATTAGATAAATTGTGATTTTTTAATATACATATTTTATTTTTTTTGACACAAAATATTATCTGTTTAAAATATATATTATATGATGTATTTGTTATAAATATTATTTAAATCAAAATTACTGTGTAGATTTTACAAAAAAAGACATTTACTATTCATGTTTTGAAAAATATGGTTAGTCACTATTTATCTTTTGACAAATTTGATATTAATTGATTATATTCTTTTGACAAATGTGATATTAGTGAGTTGTTTTCATTTGGCAAAAATTTGATGGGTACATGGGTGGTGAGTCATTTTTTACTAAAGTGTATTTAAAATTTCTACAACAATTACAAACATTATAAAAGAATAATATATTTTTAGATCTATTTTAAATGTTATTTAAAGAGATTTTACTATGCATATAAATATTATTTAAAGAGATTTTACTGTGCAATTAAATTTTTTGTGTGATGCCCCCAAAATATAACCATAGATTCAATCGAAATATAAATAAATAACTACATGAATCAGAGTGTAACGTTCTTTCATTTCATAGAGTTAATAGTACAAAAGAGTCTAACATAAATAAATGCCTTAGGCTTACACCTTTCTAAGCCTTGGCTTGGTTGTAACAAAAATGGGACTAGCTCATACAATTTAAGCCCTAGGCTATACAAAAAGTGAAACAAAACAAAGAAGCTCTTGCTTCGCAAAAGTTCCTCTAATGCTATTGCCTTGGTGGAGGCATGCCATGGTCACTTGAAAATATTTTTCCCAAATAGGGTGAGCCACAGCCTAGCAGGAATAATCTAACACAATATATGAGATTTAACAAAGATATGAGTGCAAGGTGTATATACAATGCTAGTGATAAAATATTCACATTTTATATAGGCATAAAATACCACTTCTATATTTCTTTTCATTTTCCTTCAACTCATTTCAATACCTGAGCCAATTTCATTATTCATTCGATAACCCAAATGAGGCTACAACTCAATGGTTTTATAATCACACCATTAACACACAAACACTTCAAACTGCTATTTTAGAAAAATTTCGTTCGAGAGATCGGCACCCCTGTATAAATTTCGGGATTTTCACCTAGGACACTCGAACCAACTTAATTATAATGGAATCTACTCCCTTTCTTCTCCCAAACAGTGGAATCCATCCCATTTATCCTCCTAAACAATCATACATATATAATGTATTTAAACACATAATCATACATGGAGTACATCTCCTTTCTCTTCTCAAACAATCATACATGCATAATGTATTTACAACATGATCATATTCAATGATAACCAACCATGGATTAGTTTTAATTCACCTAATCCTCATACAATTTCTACAACAATCATAGCTATCCTCTACCGATAGTCCAATACAGTTATTTCTAAACAGATATACAATCTCAAGACAAATAATTTATTCAAAATTTCCAAAGATGAGGCATGTCATTTACTCAAATCCACTATTTATTTCAAAACTCGTTCAATTTCATGTTCATAACATCAATTTCATTTAATTATACAAAATAAATATTATGATCATTTTAGGGCAAACCCTCTCTTTCCTCAAGTATCAACCAAGCAGCAAAATCAACTATTTTGATCCCATACAACATCATTTTCAAACTCCACAATCATTTATCCCTTATTTATCAAAACCCCTCTTTCCATTTTACACTCAAACCTTAGGTTTGTTCACATTATCCCCAAATCCCACCATTATTACACAACGACAAATAGCTAAGTTAAAAACTATATTAAAGTGTAGAAAATCTCTACCTCAAGTTTAGAAGATCAATGGAGCAAGGACGAAACTTCAACAATGCCGAAACCAAACTCCAATCGGATCAAAATGAAGCTTTCAAGGTGCTCTACCCTTTTCCCAAAAACACTAGGGCGGAGAAACCAATGGATTTAGGAGAAAATGTAGAGAGAGAGGGTATTTTAGAGAGAGAGAGAGTCAAGATCTAAGTTTT